GGAGGTCGTCTTCATCTCGCTTGTTTCTTCGCTCGTAGAATCGTAGAGGGGCATCCTCGCAAGGGCCACGATACGCGACTGGGTTCGCGCGCTAGGCGACTCGATCATGGATTTCTGGGTTCTGCTGCAGGAGTCGATCATCTGCAATGGGCCGTCGTCCTTCCCCCACACCTAGGTCGACGTGGGGCTAGGTAATAGGGTGCATCTCCCTCCTTGCTAGAACCCCATGATTTCTTACATTCAAGTTAGCATCTTCTCTCTCATCATCGGAATCCCTGTACATTTTTCTGTCTGCTCGTCTGTTCTGCCATGGGTGCATGACGCTTCTCAATAGTCATTGCAGTTAGCATCTGCATGATATTGCGAAGAGATTCATCCATCCCTTCTATTCGTTCAATTTTTTCAAACCTCCGTTCGTTGTCGGTGGTTTGTCTGCCACTCGAACCGTTCTCAACCATCAGATTGAGGTGAATTCCTTGCTCTGATACCAATTGTGATGCGGAAGCACTATAAATTCTTATAATAAGAATTGAAAATCAGAATTATATTGGAATAATCTTGCTTTATATTGATATATGATTGATTGATTAAAAAGTGTACAATACCCCTATATTTATAGGCAAAATTATCCCTAATCCTATTAATAAAAGAAAACTGAAATAAGGAAACTAAATTCTAAAAGGAAATAAACTAATCATAATCTAAACAATATTAAGAATAAACATATTACAACTAGAAAACAAAATTAGAAAAGATAATTTAAAAAAGACAAACTCCTAAATAAAGTGAAACTATTAATTATAGTTATGATGTACTACATCATTATTTATGATTTATTATATGTTTATTTTGTATTAACTTACATTTTTTAGTTAGTTTTTTGGTTTTCATAGGCTTAAACCTCAATCCGCCTCAACTCATAAAGGAAAAACACCTCAATACCTTGTTCCACCTTCTTAAAAATTGGATCTAGTAGATCACACAACCAACTCCAAATTCAATGAGAGTTAAATTATTTCGAAATATATAAATACAAAAAATACTTGAGGCACATGTTTGGACATATTCAAAAACCCACATGAATACAGTTGCTTAATTTTTCCTTTACAAAAATATGTACAATATATGTGAGAAAAAGAGAACAATGAAGGCACGCAAATAGATAAGTAGTTGCACAAGAGCAAAGTACGAGATAAATAGGGAAAAACTCCTTGAGCAAAGATGTAAACCACGTTTAGAGAGTGATTATGAACTTCCATTTTTCTTCTATACAAACATAATGCCTTTTTTGGTTGCCCAATACAAAAAAAAAAAAAAAGGTTAAGATGTGAAGGTTGCTTCTGCTGAATGAAATATCGTGGTAGAAGCTTTTTGTTTAGTTGATTTAGAAGCGGAGTCACAAAACATGCAAGAGATATTTTTAAAGAGAGATTATACCTCAAGTAAATCTTTCTCCAAACGTTCTTTCAATTGTTGCATTGACGCCGTGCCACCAGCAAGCTACATGACGAGATTGATGAACATCAGGACTTGCTGTGACCAAATGTTTGCGGCTAAAGGAATTTGGTTTAAATGGAATGAAAATAATTCACTCCACACTATCCCATTATAACAGTCATCCACAGCAGTACTTTCTCAACATACTTGGACAATCTAAATCAACTACATCTGGTTATACAAGATGTACCACATAGAAGGGTGTCAACTTTCATGAAAGTGGGAACAGCAAATATATCAGTTGATAATTAAGACATAAGCATCAGCTTAATGTGCTATAGTAATAACCTAAACGGAAAAGAGTGCAGGATCTACTAGGAATAGATTGCTGAAAAATCAATAACTTCAATTACAAATTAAGAAGAGCTATTTTTACTCTTCAGAGTATTACTGATATAGTTGACATTATCCATTGATGCCTTGACATATCCAAATTGTTTAGAACAAACCAGAAACCTATGAAGCAAGGAAGGTACTTGTAACTTTTCAAAAAACAAACTCTTAACACATCAAATAAAATACTAGAAAATACATATTTAAATACTGTTCTTTATCTCCGTACTTTATAGATTCAATAAAATTCTTGTTTTTGGTTTTGATTTTAATTTTTTTGCTGGTGAAGTCATTTGAACTTGTCATAGTCATGTCCTTCGCATTATAAGATTTTGAAACACATGAATAGGGCATGCTGTATGACATCTCATAAACGTGTTTGAGGCATGTCAAGGTTGTATTTGTTGAGTGTCGAAAGCTTAAAACAACCAATCGGACTCGTGTCCCAAAGGGTCCAAGCATGTTGTTGTCTGGTGCATATCGTGCCATAGAGATGAAAACTAACCTGGCATATTCTTTGAGAACTGGCAGACATAAGGAACTCATGCCCAAAGGAAAACCCAATGCAGATCTCCCTTCAGACGGTAGCAAAGGAAAAGGGAGGAAAGAAAAGACAGAAAGAGAAAAGAACAGAAACCCAAGAAAAAATCTCATGCATGGACATCTATATAATGAGGAAGAAAGAGTATGCATAACCTAAATGACCCAATTAGCACAGGAAATGACAGAATGAAAAAAAAATAGAGTTAAAAAAATAACATAATAATCTAACACCAGAAAAAAAACAAAATAAAATTATTATTTCGTAGCCTTGCCTGAAAGAGTATAAATGGTGAGAAGTCAGTTTTAGACAAAAGGACTAGTTATCTTACCAATATGCTGCTAAATAGTTCTCTGCGTATGTCAACATCACACTTGTTAATGCTCTCAATAACCTGATATATTTTCCACATAAGTAACTGTTTTAAGCTTGAAACAGAAAGGAAACCATAGCAATATAACTCAGATTTGGAAACAAAACCACGGGATTTAAAGAATAAGTATATACCATTTGCGGCAAACCACGAACAGATGTAGTAGTCTTTGCATATGTTTCCATGCCAGGGATACTCTGAGAACACCAGAATGTAATATAGCATGTCAAACCAAACCAAAGATGTAGATAATCTCAGATGGATGAACTTGAAGCAGAAAAGCAGTAATGAGCTTAGTAAGCTGCAAACCGCTACATTGAAGTGCAGAATACCACATATACAATAGATATAATAGTTCGACTCAAAATAAGAAAAGACAACGAACTGACGGCCTGGCATAAGAGTATCAAGAGTCAAAGACATTCAAAATGATCAATTATTTAAAAACAACATTACGGTGTTTCTAACTAAGCCATATTTTATGATACACATAAGGTGCAGGTACAGCACGTTAGAAAATTAATCTAGCTTGCGAACATGAATTTGGATAATTCCTGTATAATAGTAATCAACATTTAGTATTCCACATAGTATATTCCAGTAAGAACATGAATATAATGAATTCATGTATCTACATCAAACAAACTAGCCTAGAATACATGTAAGATTCTTCTACTACTAGCATAAACAGAAGTCCCAGGATTGTTTACTTGGGCTAGGCAACAAAACATGGTAAAGAAATACATTGTTCAAGAAAATAAACCTTTTTCTCTTGTAGTAAAATTGCGAGTTTGAGTGCCCGTGTTTTTGAGAGTCCACCATCACTTCTAACATATCAAGCAAAGAGAACATGCACAAGGTACTACAGCCATGAAAGTACCAGAAGCATTAACATAGGTTGCATTCTTATCACGACCAGCCTTCATATACATAGGAAAAAACATGTCCATAATTACACTTTCAACATTTTCTATTTGTATATTTAAACCCATAATGACCAAAAATCAAATAGAATGCAACCCAATTACAAAAACAAAATTGCAAACCACCAAAGACAAACGAAAGGTACATTTTTGGGAAAAATTGTTTCCTTCCTTTCCCTCTAACATAATCTCCCATCCCATGCTTGATAATTGAATAATCAATCGCATAAGGTCTAGGTCTCAACTGAGGCTCTGTTCTATTCATCCAGTGCATTATCTTAAACAGTCCAATTAGTGAGTCGGGCATCTTTTATGGTTTTTCATCAGCATACTGAGAAAGCAGCCAAAACCTTCTAATACCATTGACACCTCCGAGTCCCTCCCCACTCCCCCAAGCAACTATTTTGCTTTGCATGTCTAACTACTATAGGTATCGCTTGCTGCCATGAGTAACCTGAACACTGAGAAGAGACCCATCACTTTCTTTCTCAATCATGACATTTCATCACAAGTGTTCCAGAGTAAATTTGCTTGGCCCCCATCTCCATCACAATCCAACCCCTCATCATCTGTAAATATGTCCGTCTTCTAGTGACACCATCCCAAGTCAAAGTTATTTTCCTTTGACACTTTACAAGCAATTGTAAACCTAGGGAAGACCAATTTCCTCACTGAAGACACCCATCAGACTTGCCCATATTTACATGGTCCTGTTGTTAACTTAGATGCTACCTTTCAAATCCCAGTTCTCTTCAACAGCATGATGTCATCCAAACTAAACAAAATTATGAGTGTGTACCTGATGTGTGACAGAATTAAACATGAACGAGATGGAGAAAGAAAGAAGAGAAAGGAGAAGGAGAAGAAGAGGGAGAAAATAGAGAGAATTTAAAAGAGAAAATTTCAATTTATTCAAGTGTAACTATTACAATGCATAATGCCCCTTTATATAGCCTCTGTTTGGTGGAGATTAAAATCAGATTTTTAATAGATTTTAATAGAAGTTAACGAAATATGGGATTAAAAAGTTGTAAAATCCATAAAATGTGGTCAAAATTAATTGTTGACTTTGATTTAGATTAAAATCTAGATTTTAATCCGTACCAAACAGGGGCATAGTGTTTAAACTAGCGTAATTTAAATAGGAAAATACTAGAAAATCTATTAAGTAAGATCCTAATTATGTTTCCTAAATTATCTAATTTGGTCTCTACTAGATTCCCATCAGTACCAGACCAGACCTGGAGAATGGTTAAACATAAAATTGAGCTTCTATGTATTCTCATGCAACATTTGCTTGAGCAGTACTCATAACTGCCAATTCTTCATCTTTATCAGATTAGTTCTGGCCCTAAACTGTTCTTCTGGAAGTTCTGGATGCGGTTCTAGAGGTATTAAGACCAGTTCAACAAATGACAATTATATATGGGTTGAACCTATTACAGGCACATAGTTTCCACTTCTACATCTTACAACAGCTTCTAAATCTTACAACAGCAATAGCAAGAAGATTCAGCAAAGACTTTCATGAATGCAGACGAGCAAATCTGAGCATCTTCATGAATGACACATCTAACCAGAACAATTCAGATGTTAAAGCACCAAAGAATACCCAATCATAAATAGGAAAAATTAGTTAGCATAAAACTGAAATGAGTCACAAAGCAAGCACACTGGCCTGGAAAAAATTGATGGTAATTGCATTTAAGAACTGACATATGTAACACATAGGAATATGGGAAATATCAAAAGAAATTTAAAAGACAAAATGTAAAAGCAGCATATCCAGACAGCAACCTGAACTAATGATGGATTGAATAGAATATCAGGAATCTTAAATCTGTCAGCTCCGATTTCTATCATCCTATGAACAGAAGATAAGAGAATGTTAGTGACATGTTTTATATAAAATTTCAAGGAGCGAAAACAAATGGTTCAATCCGAAATATAAATTTACATCATCGTGTGTCAAGAAACGAGGTAAATCAACTTGATACCATCACTGAGATGTATCCATATTCAGGACCATTACTCGGGGATAAAGATTGATTAAGCGATACTAGAAGATAAATATTTCAAGAGCTATCTAAAATATATCAAATGGCCTACTCATCTAAAGAAAAAAAAAATACTAAACTAACAACTTGATACGAAACTTACTGTCCATCAGGAAGCTCATAAGATGTCATTGGGATATTTGAATACGAACTCTCTGAGAAGAAGGAAGGTATCAGCACTTTTAGTTTTGCAAGTACAGGTTTCTAATGTAAAACAAGTAATTCTTTTTTACATAACAAACCAAAAAAGTTCCCGAGTACAATACACAGCTCCAGCAGATAATTTTCAAATGGGACCAGTTAAAAAATCAAGTAGTAGAACAAAAACTAAATGGACAAGTCACCAGGGGAATGGTAGGGGTAAAGGCAACCTTTCATCTCTAGTACCATAATCAATTGATGACATCTGCTGCAACATAAACAACTGCCTCTCATGTCCCCTGACTACTCTTCTACATCTTTTGTTCTTTTTTTCTCTTTTGTACTTTAGAGTCCAACTATTTAGCAGTCTGAGAGGACCCATTTTTACCAGATTATCAACAGGTTTGGAGGCTTTGTGAAGGCTGACAAAGGCTAAGGATGGTGGTACTGGTGTGAGGATATGGTGACGAAGACAAACAGCACATGGCGCTGGTGGGTGGAGATGATGACGGTGACTAGAGATGGTGGTTCAAGATTATAAAAGACTTCAACTATGGCTGGCTCGACTGTTGGTGGGCTGGGAGTGTTGATGGCTTCGCAAGGACAGGCATGATGGTTTTAGGTGCCAGTGGATAGAATGTTGATGTGGGCTCACGAGATCTAGAGACGGGTAGGTGGAGAAGTTGTTGGCATTTAGAAAGAGATGACTGTGAATCGTAACGGTGAGAGGGGATGTCAGTACCTTCAAGCTGGCTAGGTGGTAGCTGATTTGGTGGCCACAGGACATGATGTAAGCTGAAGGGGGGTCAGTTTTGGAGGGGGAAACATGAAGAAGTTTTGAGTGCAGGCATGACTACATCTATTATTACTTTATTTTATCCTAAAACCCAGGAAAAGTTTTGGTTATGTAATCCCACAAATTTGACAACAAAATACATATAAATTGGTATCAGTATCACATTACAGAAATGAATCAAAAAGCAGTATAGAATCAAGACTACATCATAGCAGATCAGGATCAGCAGTCCTGTCAATTTCCATAGTAGTCAAAATTCTAGAGATTTAAAGCAACAAAATCCTGAACAAACTATATAACTACTCCTTTAATGCTATTCCAAAATCCATGAATGAAAATGATCCTTAATAGATGGAGATAACAATAAACTACTGTATACATAATTTGGTGAATGCTGACATTACAGTGCCTGCAAACGTAAAGGATAGTAGATAGGTTAAGATTTTATCTTTTGCTTTAAGAGAACTCGTGATGGAAATACTTATTGGCCATTCACTTCTTTATTGTTCTAAAACTTTTTGCCCACCAAAAGTTACTAGTCATGAACATCAATGTCAAAACTATGTCACAGAAGAATTCAGTATCAGGAAGAAAATTAAAACTGAGAGAAGTTCAAACCATCATATGGAGTATCTGGTGCTCGACACACGCATTCTTTTATGTCACTAACAATCACCCTCTGCAACAAATAAAAAGAATTAGTGGCAGAAAAGGTGGGGTACAGCAACTAAAGAAAGCTCAAGTCAGTCAGTAACCTGGGAATAGAGTTTGTAACTTTCAGTTGTATTTGGAAAGTCAAGGTGCACTGTCTGTGACATACAAGGGAAAAAACTATTATCAGTCATAAGAAAACAGACCAAGTAGAGAATTGCATTGAGATATTTTCTTTTTGAGATGTATCATTGCACTAAGGCATGAAACATCAAGGGGAATTGTGATTGCAAGCAAATGAAACATTGACTTTAGAATTCATTAGCAAGCCCTCAGCCCCACCCCCCCCCCCCCCCCCCAATTTTTTTTTTTTTGATAAGTA